AATAAATAAGCACAAATAATCATGGTATAAACATGGCTTCCCTCACTTAACCCTAGAAAACGACTACTCACTCATAATTAAAATAAACAAAACAAAAGAGATAAATAAACTTGAATTCATAATTAATAAAATAAAAAAAGAACAAAAAGAATAATTGAAATACCTCGATGATTGAATTAATGAAGAATGAAAAGCTAAGGTTTAACAATGGAGAGAAAAACTAAGAAACGTTTAATCTGGAAAAATAAAGCATCCAGAGGAAAACAAAATCCTCCCAAGTATTTATATAAAAACCTAATCCTAAGTAAAATAAAATAGGTAAAATAAAAATAATGAAATAAAAGTAACAAAGGTCATCTTTTAATTGGTCGAGGGAATTACGATCGACGAAAAACAAGTTTTCCGCGCGCCAGACCCATCGCCCGATGGATGCCCGATGGTCGAGTGATACAGGGCTGCGACGACGACCATTGGCCGATGGATTTCCATCGGGCTAGGCAGATTCAAAGGGTCGTTTGTGCGGCTAAACCATCGCCCGATGGCTGGGCGCTTGCTGGCAGATTTGAAGGACCGATTTCGGAAGGCCGTAATTCACAATCTTTGAATCGTATGAAGGCGTGCAACCTATCGTTGGAAATCTCTTCAAGTCTAGTTTCCAACCCAACTCGAATCACCTCAATCCGATTTGTGGAACTCGAGATATGGCTAAAACAATGCACAAAGGTCCTTTGTGATACTTTGCAAGCCTTCGTTTTCCTTTGTTCCTAACTCAAATTCAATTCCGAAAAGTGCATTACGATCCTTGTGGATTCTATTTTCAATTCTCATGCATATAATCCTTAGAGACAACATCCACGAGCATAAATCCCCCGGTAAATGAACTCGATCCATCTATTTCCATTCAAATATCATTCGAATCATCTCCAAATACTTCAAAAGCGTCCAAATGACTTCGAAATCACCTGAAACATTAAGAAATACACAAACAGAGCGTAATAGAGCGATATAGAAGGACTTATGCAGATATGACCCTAAAATCGACCAAAAAGACTAAGAAAAAGGTATAAAAACTAACATAAACGTGCCTAAGAACAATATATAAATATGATTCATCAAATTCCCCCAAGCTAAACCGTTGCTTGTCCCGAACCAGAATAAGATCAACACGACTCTCGAGAAAACTATCAAACCAAAGTTAGCGAAACTGAAATCTGGCTTAGATACATATAGAACCACGTAGTACTCATACTCCTACAATTAACTCACCGATCTAGAGGCCACAAACAGTCTCATTCCAATCTAGTCTTCGCCGATTTCCTGTAGATATGCTGAAGTCGAGCACGAGAGGTGCCCTACCCTCTTAGGATTATAACATACACTTAACCTATACCATGTCGACTCCGAATGCAACAATTACTCTTTAACTTTGACTCAAAACTCAGTTCACTCAATCATAACTTATGCACGAAGATCAGAAGGTCCTTATGAGGGTTGTAATGGGGCTAGGGTGAGAGGTAGGATTAACATTTTGGGAGATGTGAGAGTTGAAGTAGCTGGGAGAGTGGTAATAATAGTTTATAATAACAACACAACCAAATGCATGACGAAGATAACCTCGTTTAGCATCTAGGCTCTCCATACACCATAAAATCAAGAAAAAAATCACTATACACCAAAGTAATTTGATTTTCTCTTCTTCCCTTCCTCCTTCAATCCTTATTTTTTTATTTTTTTATTTTTTTTATTTTTTTTATTTTATTATTATTTTTTTTTTAATTGAAATACCTTGAGCTTCCATTCAAAATCTCCTTTATTGCACCACGAAGAAAATATTTAGCCAAATGAAAATTCACAAATCACAAGATAGACCACTCCCCCAAGCTAGGCTGGGGAATAGTAACCAATTGAGGTCGAAGGCTTGTAATATGGCTAATTCAATGAAGGGTAAAGCTCAACATGGGTAACAATTAAGGAGCAAATACAAAAATAACTTCTGGAGGCTCAAATTGAGAAAAAGAAAGACCTTTATCATTTCAATCATGCACTCATTACAACCAAATTACTACGAGTCTTAAGGCAAAATTAAGATTAGAGTTGCACCAGGAACTATCACACATACAGAAATTTAGACTGTTATAAATGTGACAGTCAATCAATCGGGTTTTGAAAACTCACATGGCTTGTGGTCTACAAAAATATCGACTAGCTAGACTCAAGAAGAGCAAAACATCTTTCCACAAACCAATTAGTCGCAGGCTACATTGCTACGCAGTTATCAACGTATAAAGCACACCGACTAAATTTTGAAATCATAACTATGATGAGAAGAAGCTCAAGAGAGTCTAATCTAATCCGCACACGGTTCGAAGTCAAACAAATGGAAAATAGGCACAAGAATGCATTATTCGAAAACACAACTAAACTAAGAAAGCAATACATTTTTTTTCGTTGCACGTAAACTCCCATCCCTAATAGACGGTACAAACCATGCAACACCTACAGAAAGCAATAAAACTACACTATGAAATCATTAAAAGATAGATATCCCTCCCCCAAGCTAGAATTAAACACAGTGTCCTCACTGTGGCAAAATAAAATGCAAGAGAGAGAGAGACGAGAAAGAAAAGCTCACTCACAGGAACCTCGTCGACAGAAGAGGTGTCGACTGTAGTGCCAGAAGCTACTATTTCCTGACGTAGAGAAACAACCTCCGAATTCAAGGCATGAAACCGTTGCTCTAAATTGCCGAAATAAGCAATAACCTCCTGAGAAAACGTACCAATGTTAGCCATGAACTACTTGAACATCTCTATAGTGACTAAATCGCTGCTAGACCCCTCGAAACTGATACTATGACGGAAAGGTGGGATGGAATAGTCCCACGAGAAGGAGTATGAGAGATTTAAGAATTGTCACCAATCAAAGGCGGAGGGGCCGAAGAAGAACCTTGCTTTGTAGAATGCACACCTGTGAGGATGATTGTTTTGATGTTGGGGGTAGGCGGAAACAAAAGGGCATCTGGAGTTCCCATTCGAGTTTCAAGAGTGGGCAAAACAGCATAAGGAGTCGGAGGTGAGTCCTTCTCCTCTCCCTTAACCTGCCATACAAACAAACCAATCTTTGGTAACAACAACCATCCATATCGTTTCATGCTCACAATATCAAGGAGTGCATATGAGTTCAACTTCTTAAAGTAAGATAAATCGATCCCCAGATGTGTAGCAAAGACGGTTACAAAGCTTCCCATAGTGATAGGCCATTTCGGCTTGTTTCTCTCCACAAGAAATGCAGAAATGAAGAATTCTATCTCGATCACCATGTAAGAACCACCAAAGCATCTTGAAATCACTTGTAGCAATTTGTCCCATCTCTGTCTTTGGAAAGAACACTTGTAGAAGCAAGCGATGCAGAATACGAGGCACAGGGTTCACAATTGAAAAATACTTAGTAAGACGAACTTTCCAATCATCTCGACATGTGAGTTCTCTCCAAAATATTTTTTGGTGAAATTGTAATCCATTCTTGTCACCCCAAAACGAACCAAACTCCGATGGACCAATAGTTCCATCACAAAGCCACTCGAAAATTTCATTAACCTCCTTTGGTGACATTGAATGTGCCATTCCATCAAGAGAAAAAGATATGTCACCATTATTAGACACTACTAAAGAAGTAAGAAACTCAATAACCAAATCCGGATAAACCTCTTCCTTCAAATTTAGAACTTTTGACCAACCACACCTTCGACCTATTTCTTGCAAACAATCATAAACCCCAAGCTTCTTACCGTCGTCTTGTGAATAACGAAGTGTTGGTTTGATTTTTCGGTCTTGAAGTGAGAAACCAAGGCCTTCTTTGCTCAAACTTGAGGAAGGGTGAGAGGTGGAATGTGGGTTGATATGAGAAGTGTTTGGAAGGGATTTATGTGGTAGTTTGGGATGCTTCTTTGAAGGTGAGGCTCTTGCTTTTCGAGGTGGGTTTCTCTTTGTGGGAGTAGATCTTAGTGGTGCAAGTGGAGAAGGAGTGGACTTTGGGTGAGAACTAGTGGTTTTTGTGGTTCTCATGATGCAATGTCACAATCGAATAGTAATAAGCACAAAATACTCCAACCAACACTAGTAATCCAAAGTAGAATAAATTCCAATCAACCACCAACCAAATATCAATGTTTAATCAAAATTAATCACCACAAATTCAATCAACAAGCAAATATTAATATACAAGAGGCAAAATTTTCAATTTTTATATGAATGTAAACAATTCAAGAAGAGAAGTTGGATGAAAAATTGAAAATAATACCTATGCATTTTGCAATTAAAACAATATTGTTGTTGGTTACCTCAAATCAAATACCAATTAAATTGCAATTTCAACCAATTCTCCAAATTGAAAAAGAAAATCAAAAGCCCTAACCTTGAGAAAAATTAGGGTTCTTCTCTTTTTTTTCGTGGAGGGAGGCTGACTGGTGTCTCGGAGCAGCGCCGGTGGGGCGTCAGTGGGGCGTCGGTGATGTAGGCAGCGGTGCGCGGCTATGGGGTGGTGGAGAGGTTGAGAGAGAAGGGGGTGGGGTGACTTTGGATTCGTGTAGGCTGGAAACTTCTTTTCTTGTTTATTTTTTTCTGGTTTTTTTTGTTGGGGATGCGTGTAGCTACCTGGGTGCCAGAACTAGCGGGCCTTGGAATTCCAGCGGCCCAGGCAGAACGTTGGGCTGCTAGTGGGAGCTCGGCCCAGCGGGCGCTGGCTGCCTCTGCTTCCTTCTATATATATATATAGAAAAGTTAAAAGCAAAAAGGAAGAGAAACTAAAAAGAAAAGGAAAAACAAAACTAAAAAAAAATAAAAAAAAAAAAAGACGGGTTGCCTTCCGATAAGCGCTCATTTAGAGTCGTGAGCTCGACTTCTTACCTTAGTATCAAGCATCAATTGGTGTATCGTAGAGATAAATCGTCTCCAATTTGCCGATGAAAGCACCCTCGGTATATAGCTTTAAATGTTGTCCATTTACCTTAATTTCGTGTCGTTTTCGCTAGCAACCTCTATGGCTCCATATGCTTTGACATCGGTGACTGTGAAAGGCCCGGACCATCTAGACTTAAGTTTTCCAGGAAAAAGTCGAAGTCTTGAGTTATAAAGCAACACCTTGTCACCATTATTGAACTCTCGTTTTTGGATCATCTTATCGTGAAACTTCTTCGTTTGTTCCTTGTAGAGCCTATGATTTTTGTAAGCATCGAGCCGAATCTCATCTAGCTCGTTCAATTGAAGAAGTCTCGTTTCATCGGCCTTCTCTAGATCCAAATTAATCTCCTTGACGGCCCATTGTGAAAGGTATTCCATTTCGACCGGTAAATGACATGCTTTGCCATACACCAACCGATACGGAGTTGTCCCTAACGGAGTCTTGTAATCCGTTCGCAATGCCCACAATGTATCATCAAACTTCAATGACCAATCTTTGCGGGATTTGTTGACTACCTTTTCAAGGATTCTCTTGATTTTTCGATTAGATACCTCAACTTGACTTCTTGTTTATAAGAAGAGACTTGAAAGTTCGTTGATGGAAATGAGAACCACCGTCACTAATGACAACTCTTGGGACTCCGAAACGCGGAAAGATGATCTTTTTGAATAGCTTCATAACGACCTTCGAATCATTAGTAGGCGACGCAATAGCTTCGATCCACTTGGAGACATAGTTCACGGCAACCAAAATGTACCGATTCCCACTAGAAGAGGGAAATGGTCCCATAAAATCAATGCCCCAGACATCGAAAGGCTCGGCCTCAAGAATCCCATTTTGTGGCATCTCTTGCCTCTTCGATATATTTCCTGTTCTTTGACACTTATCACATGCATTGCAAAAAGCACGAGCATCCTTAAATAATGAGGGCCAATAGAAACCACATTAAAGCACTCGGTAGGCAGTTGCAGTAGAACCAAGATGTCCACTAGAAGGTAGATTATGGAAATGATGAAGGATACCATGGGTATCCCAATCCGCTACATATCTCCGAAACATTCCATCAGCGCACTTTCGATACAAATGAGGGTCATCCCAAAAGTACCGCTTGGCATCATGGTAGAACTTCTTGTGTTGTTGGTAAGTCAGATCCGGAGGATGTGAACCACCTACACAAAAATTAGCATAGTCAGCATACCATGGAGATACAGAAGAAACAGAGAATAAATGATCATCGGGGAAAGAGTCATTTATAGGGCTATGTGAAGTAGACTGAAATCTTAATCGAGAGAGGTGATCCGCAACAACGTTCTCGTCACCCTTTTTGTCTCGAATCTCTAAATCGAACTCTTGAAGGAGAAAAATCTATCGAATGAGCCTCGGTTTAGCCTCTTTCTTTGCTAGGAGATACTTCTCAGCGGCATGGTCAGTGTGGACAATTACTTTCGAACCAATGAGGTAAGTTCAAAACTCGTCAAGAGCATACACAATAGCTAGGAGCTCTTTCTCAGTGGTGGCATAATTCATCTGAGCCTCATCCAAGGTTTTACTAGCATAGTAAATGGCATGCAAAACCTTGTTCTTTCGTTGTCCAAGCACGACTCCCACAGCATAGTCACTCGCATCACACATGATCTCGAATGGCAAATCCCAATCTGGAGGTTGTATGATAGGAGCAGTTATCAATGCCTCCTTAATCCTGTTAAAAGACTCCATACAAGAATCAGTAAACTCAAATGTGGCATCCTTAAGCAATAATTGAGTGAGGGGTTTTGCTATTTTTAAAAAATCTTTTATAAATTGGCGATAAAACCCTGCATGAACAAGAAAACTTCTCACTCCCTTGACATTCACAGGAGGGGGAAGTTTCTCAATCACCTCAATTTTTCCTTTGTCAACTTGGACGCCACGATCAGAAATAAGAAGACCAAGTACCACTCCTTCATTGACCATGAAGTGGCACTTTGATCGATGGTGAAATGATAGGTTGTTGGACTACCCTCCCCAACCGGTCAAACAAAATTTATACACTCAGCCAACCCCTATACAAGTATAGTAGCAAGTCAAAGGTCGAACCCAAAGGAATAGTGATTGAATGTCTATTGTCTTACGCTAAACTATTCCGAAATCGAAAGTGGGGTTGTATGCTAAAACTAGAGCTAATGACAACAAATAAACTTGTAGAAAATCAAATATGATAAACACTAGGCTAGGATCCACATGCATTCATAATGGAGATGGCTAATTGGGAGGTCAAATTGGCTAAGTCAATCAATGTGAGGGAAAATCAATCATGCAACCAAAAGAGCATATCAAGCTATTCTCCTAGAGGTCTAACTAGCGTCAACTACGATTAACTCTAGCTAGGAAACATCAGGAGACACCTCAATCGTGTAAATGCAAGCCACAAATCAATGGTCCGTATCAATGTGAACTTACAATGCAATCTAGTGCAACAATTAAAAATTGAATCTCCCCAAAAATGGAAAGAAACTACAATATATACAAGGGAGAAGTCGGTTATGACGTCCAAAAATAGACCCACGCAGATGCGACTGCACATAGGGAAGAAGAGGGCGCACGGAGCAGGGTACAGGCACAAACCCAGGGGGGTGCGCCCGCACGCGCCTCCTGTGCGGCCGCACCTAGGAGGGTCTCCTCCTCCCCTTCTTCGATCTTGATCATCCTTGTGCACAGAACTTGGTGATGGTGATGAACATCAAAGTAGGCAGTAAGTATATGAGCATTTTGGTGGGTTTGTGGCACAGATGATGCCCCCACCGCATGCGTGCACCGGTCTTGAGACTTGCCCTTCGAGTTCCTCTAAACTTGAAGCTCAAAATGCTAGCACAAGGCATCCAATGTGATGATAAATTTTGAAGGGAAGCTCGGAAATATTTGGATGCTCGATCATAACCTGAAAACAAATGAAAACAAACAAATAATAGATAAAAACAACGAATAAACAAGGTAATGCACAAAATAAAGAAACTAACTACGAAAAGCACAAAGTAAAGAAATAAAGAGAAAAACTAAGGAAAACTAAGGAAAAGAGCTACAAAATGAAATGAAATTCATCCACAAAGAGATCAAATGAATTCCATAAATGTCACTCATCAAATTCCCCCAAGCTAAACTTTTGCTCGTCCTCGAGAAAAACAAAGCAAGAAAGAATAAGGATGAAAAATTTATTAAAAATGAAAAAGAAAGACTCAAGATAAGAATGTACGCTAAGACTCACTGTCGTAGGAATCACGGTTGTGTTTAGTTACAACAAGCCCTTTAAACCCCAAAGTCGCCTATGAGGACAAGTGAGGTCTCGTAAGGGTGTCCTAAGAGTTTACCCACAACTCTCCACCAAAAATGAAAGAGGAAAATCCATAAAAATAAAAGAAAAGAAAAATGAAAATAAAACCTTTGCGAAATGGACTTTATAGAGACTATAATGCATAGAAATGAAAGTCTTTCTCAAGTAATCAAGGTATGCACTTTTCAAGATATCTAAGGTTGATTGAAACATAGGGTATGCTAGGCATAGGAACTAGACATCACAATCCACGTTCATCCCAAACAATCTTACCGTGTTCTCCCCACTAGTCTCAAATCTCCCCTTAGTGAGCATCCCTATTATTCCTCGAAGGAACCGGAAAAAGAGATTTTATTTAGGCTAATCGACAATCTGACTATGCATCCCCTTTCCTTAGGCAATGACCCATGATTCCCTCCCCCGAATAGTGACTCAACTTTCTAGGTCGAAAGGTCTTTCCCCAAGGTTGTAACGTAAGGCATAAAAGGTGAAGGTAGGCTAAAATTTAAAATTTGGTGGTTTTCCTAAAAAGTGAAGCAAAAGGGTGATCAATCCTCAACAACACAATCAAGAAATTACCAAACAAAAACAACACCCCCAAGCTTACTTGAAGCTATACTCACAAGAAATATATACAAAAAGCGTAAACGCTTCTCCCCCAAGCTAAAATGATGCATTGTCCTCAATGCTTAGAAGGAGAAAAGAATACATCAAAATATTTTTGAATTTTCACTTTTTCGATGTTTTGTTTTTTTTTTTTATACTTAAAACTTGCAATGTCCTTGCCTTTTGCTAAATTTGGACGGCTTTTTCTATAATGCAATTTATTTGTACATGCCTTTTATGATTAAGGACGGCTTTTTCTCAAACACATGCCATTTTTCGCAAAGAAAACTTAACACAATCTTGTACTCATAAAAACCAAATTTCCAACTTTTCCACCACAAACTCCATCAACTATGATCAATTTGCTTCACAAAAACCAAGAAAATAAAGAAAATGAAACAAAAGGCCAAAGAACTAAAGATGTGGCTTGAAAATAAGGTATAAGGCTCAAATGGTTGCAAGAAGGCAAATGTAAACCCAAAAATAAAGATGATACAAACTATCCTAAGAATGAAAAATACCACCCCAAAAAATGTGCCTTTGTCCTCCCTATATAGCTCGGTCTCGGGTTTAAGAATCATACATCAAGCTTTATAGATTAGGTTTGCATAGTCAAGGATCCACGCCGCTCATACAAAATAGGTTGAAGGCTTGAAAAACGTTGAACCTCACATGGATGTAGCAAAAATCACTAGTGGTGTCAAATTGACTATAGGGAGAAACTACCAAGCATGCCACAAACAAGTAGAATCCGGCTTCATGATCCTTCTAGTTCAAACCAACTACACTAGCATACACCTGTCCTAGAGTCAACCGAACATAGTCTCAAACCGTGCATACCTTTACTACTTAGGAAGAAAATCACGCAAAAGACAAAGTCCAATGTACAAAGTCCAACTCATAAAGACACAAAAAGGAAAAATAAGCCTCAAAATCATACCACAAACAAGAAAGAAAATAAAGGAAAAGGAAAATAAAAGAAAATAAAAGAAAGGAAAAGGAAACATAGATAAAGGAAAATAGGAGAAAAGGACTAGAAAGCAAGTTAAACACATATATATCCCAATCGACAAATAAGTGATCGAATGACAACATCGTCATCGATCCCAAACACATTACGTGTTAACAAGCATTCATCCTCAGACCATTCAACTTCCCCTAAACTAATCCTAGTCTATGTAACCAAAGAAAATAAAGAGAAAAATTAGAAAGGTCTCACCGGGCTATCCATGCTTAGGAAAATAAACGATGGCAAAAAGAAACCACCATCGATGTGCTCCAAGACCAAAAGCATCTTCAAAAACCCAAGTGAGTAAAGGAAAAATAAAAGAAGCTATAAACAAAGAGAAAGGTTAGTAACTTCAAAACAAAGAAAAGAAAATAACAAATAAAAGGAAACTAAACTAAAACTATAAACACCTAAGCAAAACAACAACTAAACTATCAAAGAGTATAGGAAAGAAA